TGCCAAGCACTATTTATTTTAAACTATATACTACAGTACTAAAATTACAAAAATGCTATCCACTTTACAGCTGTTTTCATTATTTATAGAACATCTATAAAAAATTAGCCGAATGATTTTTCGGCCGATCCAGTTATTTTTTTGGCATGATTGGTATATAAAAAATATATTTTTAATTAGTCTAATTTTTATTTACTGTAACATTGATATAATATCTGTGTCATAAATTAAATTACATCATTGGTCCAATTTCAAAAATTACCATAATAAATATTGTTCTACAAATAATTTTGTCAATATTATTAAAATTTCGGTTGAACGCTTGCCCAATACACTTAGTGTGTTTAATTTGTGCAAAAGTTTATAAGAAAAACTGTTCTTGTCAACCAATAACACTTGACAATAAATATAAACCAAATATCAACTTAGCTTTTATAATAAATATATTATTATAAAGTTTGTCAATTGAATTCAATATATTAAGTGTAAAGAAATTGTGCCAATCTTAAAATATCGAAGAAAATTAATAGACTCCAAGAATAAAATCTGTTGAAGCTATGAAGAAGAAGAGGAGAATAAAGAGAGAAAATAGTATGATAACAAAACACATAAATATTAAAAAAATACTTCTAGTAAAATAGAAGAATACCAATTCTGCAATTGTTAATTACTCCTTTTAAAAATAAAGAATTTTGCTCGGGTTGTGAGAAAGAAAATACAGACCTTTATTTAACTTTTAACAAGAGAGAAAACAAAATAGTTAAGACCAAGTAGAACGTTTGAGATCCTCGATCAACAAGATAGAATTTAGACCACTTTGTGATTTGTTTTTACCCTTGTAATTGCACAATATAACAAAAAGAATATCTAGTTACACTTACATAGAGCGATATTGTACAACTAAACTGTATATATTAACGATTACTTATACACAAATTTAGTTATCGGCCTTGGGTGCCAATTCCCTTAGAACTTTAGCAGAATATTGTCACGCTTTTTTGGTTCTATCTTCCTTAGTGCATAGATATGTATGGAACAAATTTGATGAAGTCTCAGACGTGGGTGAGAAAGACCATTACTGAAAATAAAGTGTTTGGCAATATTTTCAATATTGCTATTGGACTAAAAATTCAACTAAAGTTGAAATTCAAAAAAATCAATACTTAATTAATATTTGTCAAAAATGCGTTAAAAATTATGATCAACAAAATCAAAGCGAATCGGTAGATCTAACAATTAAAGATTCTCTAGAATCTTTATCATCCATGACAAATACTTTTGAGTTATCTGACTTGGCTACAACTGATTCAGAAATTAATAGTGAAAAGATCCTAAATAGGATAAAAGAATCTGAATCAGAAGCTATTAATATGAAAGAGCTTTTTATAAAAGTTTATAAAATCAAAATATGCATTATATGAAATATTACCTAGCACTCCAAGTTGTTGTAAGACTAATGTTACATCCCAACCAAAGTTCCATCTTGGATTGTAATTCAAACAAGTACCGGTCCTTTAAAATATTTTTAGAAAGTGATGGAAGTTTTTTAATGCAACCATATCTTTGAAAATGTACAAGAACCTAAGTTATAGAAGACCTGCTAACTACTTGATGGGTAAGAAGTAATTAATTTTTGCAGTTCTTGGGTTCTTTGTTTTCGGAGAGAAGGGGTATTCTTTACAGTATTGAGTAATCTTTTCTTTTTTTCTAAAACGAGTTCAACTTGAGCTAGAGTTAAGAGACAGTTATAATAATCTATGGAACACATCTAAGTGTTTTGAGTTGATAGGCCTTCTAAATTTTTTAAAGTCTAATCGATTAATTAATTATAGTTCTGTAGTTTAGACCAAAACACATACCAAGACTTCCAGTTGCTAAACAAGATCCGTCAGAGTGAACATGGACCGAAAAGATCGATGTTAAACCAAGAAAAAGCCGAACGACAAAGAAAAAGCTAGAAAGAGAAGAAGCCCAGTACAAAGCCAAAAGAAAAAGACATGAAGAAAGATTAGCGAAAAAGACATGAAGAAAGATTAGCCGAAAAAGACTGCAAATTAAAAAGGATAAAGAAAGATAGCAAAAAGAACGCTGAACGTACGTACGTACTAATAAAATTCTTGGAATTTTATTGGCTACTGATAATCACATGTAGAATGATCAGGAAAAATCTAGAATAGTCTGATCGACATTTTGTTGTCATAAAAGGAGCAATCTACATTATTCTAATTCGGTATATTCCCTGACTGTAATGAATCGACTTTAGAAGGTTCACATTTTTTTATTATTTTATTTTTTTGAATTGGATCTTTAACTACAGGGAGGTTGTCAATCTCCATATTTTGTTCTTTTTCCAACTGTTTTTAAGACATTCTTATTTCTTTTCTTAATCTACCTTCCTATTTAGGGTCCACCAGATGTTTTGTAGTTTTCTGAGAGGTAATATTTTCTAAAGTATAAACTTCATCATTATTAGTTTCTTCTATTTCACAAAAACTAATAGTTTTTGTTTTATCAAAATTGTCTTTTTCTTTTCTTTGACTAGGATATGGATATTTTGATTTTTCTGACATACAATTTTTTTGTATGTGTCCTAGTTCACCATATTTTCGACATTCTATACTTTCTTTTCTTTCCCATCTATAATTATTTTGAGGTCGTCCTCCTCTATAAAAATTATTGCAAGGACAATTTACTCTTATATCTTTTAATTGTGCAGATAAAACTGCATAATTTATTGTTAATTTTTCAATAGTTTTCTTTAAGTCTTTTAACTCTTCCCCTACTTGTTGCTGTACTACTTCAGGAGGTCGTCGGCTATAATTTCCTCCAGCTTCAACCCTTTTTGCTATGTTAATTGCTTCATTTAAATTTTTAGGTGCGGCTATGGATACTAAAGTAGCATTATTGCCTTTCAAGCCATTCAAGAACATTCTGACGATAAACCTATCTGAAAAACCATTATCAACATTAATCCTATTAAGTAATTTGGTAAATTTAGTGGCATAAATATCTACTTTCAGAGGTGTGGCGACTTAGTGAAGTGGTCTAGTTGCCACCCTTACCAAACGTTATGGGAAGATCCCATGTTCAAATCCCAGGGACGGCACTTTTGTAATATGGGAAAAGTCTGCGACGATTTTCACTAAGGTTGGCCCATGGAGGATCTGTCGAGACAGTGTCTGGTAGCAACGTTGAGGTGATTCTGGAAGGCTGTAATCTGTGGGCTTTGCTTGGCACGGGTCACAGGACCGAAGATCGAAGCCCGTTTGGGAAGTCCCGAGTTTGGAGGTAGCAGTGATCTTCGACGGTACTACATGAAGGCTGAATTTGAACCGGGGCCCGAGATTGGAGAACCG